ATAGGGCTTTTTATGGTTCCCAGTTATCGTTCCCACAAGGATCTTTTGCGTTTTAACTTGGAATAAATAGGTAATTGCTAAACAGAACCAAAAATAATATAAAATCAAATTAAATGCTACTGCTATTCTAACTCAAGTATACTGAAAATATTTTTGAGAAAAGTTTCTTTTTCTTTTTGAAAATAATGATTTTAGTTGGTGAAAGACTCTTTACTTACTGACTGTAAAATTAAGTAAATGGAAAACTTATAAAATTTTTATGCTTTTCTTTTAAGTTTTAAAAACAGAAAGTTAACTCAGATTTGGACGAAAATACAAAAGGATAACAAAGATGGGTTTTTGAGAACAGAATTTGGAAGCAAGTTGGGTGTCAATTTCCCCTTCCTTTATTTGCCATTAGGATGCTTTGACAGAAAACAGTTATTGCTTCCAGCTTAACGAAAATAATAAAATAACTATTGTTTCCCAACAACAGTTTTCTTCCAATAACAACAGATGAGATATCCCTATGTCACTGTTATCATAGGACCTTGAAGTACCATTTTCTCAAGTTACATGGGGGTAGCTTCATCCCTGGAGCCATACCCATTGAGAGAGATCTCTCTCAACTTTCCATGTGCTCACAGTGGGGTCTAGTGTGAGTTATTTCCCAATAATCTCACACCACTAGGAGTAGCCTATGTGTGATCATCACATAATAAACTCAGCATATAAAAACACACAATAAACAAACTGGAATCAATACTTTAAACTTCAAAACATCACCAATAACAAACGAGTTCCGGGTACTCTTTCAACCCAACTCTAAGGAAATTAGCTCATCACCACAGGTTAATAAGCTAACATACAGCAAAGGTTCATAAAACAACAAACTACAACGTACAACTAACAAAAATTAAAATGCATGAACTATCAACAACAAATAGCCCTGAAGCAGTGCTTACAAAAAATTACAAATAAAACTACTAAAAATAAAATAAAAGAACAGTAAAATAAAAAAATATCCAAGAGCAAAATAAACTCAGCGAAGAAGAAGAGAAGAGAAGATCCCTCCAAATGCTTTTATCTTCTCCTTTATAGCTGATCTCAAATCACCTCCTCAAGACGTATGTATGCTCCTCGCTCCACTCGGTCGTGGGTGTCCCTTACACGATTAGCAACACACCACAAAAGCATCTCCAGCCACCACTACTAACAACCTCCAGCTCATCAAGTCAAGAGAGGGACCTGCTTGGATTTTTCTGTATCGCACAAAAATCAGTTAGGGTTTGTGTGGGTTGGTTCGATTCAAGAACTGAACTGTGAGTAAGGCTAGGGTTCTGTGTCTTGAACAAAGATTAAAGGGTGGTTCAGTTTGAGATGGGTGTCTGATGGGGATGGTTCGCTCGATGGTGGGTGTTAGGTTTTTTTCTTCCAGCGTTTGCTTCACGATTCTGAATCCCCCTTTGTTTCCCTTTCTTTTCTTTCTTTTCTTCCTTTTCTGACTTGGGCTTCTCTCACTTTGCTTCCTTCTTTCTTCAAGTTGGGCTTTTAATCAGCTCTGTTTCATCTGGCCCATTCTTCCTTCATTAGTTTCTCTTCTTTTGTCTCTTTACTGACTTGTATTGGTAAAACCTCAGCCCAAGATTTCTTTGTTTCTTGTCTTTTTCATTCTTTTTGCTTTGCTTGGATAAAATGAGTAGTTGGGCCTGCAAGATACAAAAACAGCCCATTAGCACTTAAAATCATAATATTTCATTTTTATGCAATATTTGGGGTTTATATTAACAAAAGATATCCTTTCCATTCCATTTTAACATCAAATGAAATGTTCTAAGTCACAATTCATGGACTTATCACCCAACAAAAAAGGTACTAGTTCTGCTCATCAGTCATGTATTTTTAATTCTTTGTTCACATATTTGTAATAGGTAGTTAGGTACTATCAACACTCTAACATAAAAAGAGAGCAAGCTATTGTTTCCCTCTACTTTTAGAATGAAAAGCAATATATTTAACATAATTGTGAGTGATGAAGTTTTTCATCGATTATGAATGGACTAAGTGAAAAATATACAAGTGAGAGAACTCATGAATTCGGGGGCGTTTAGCAGAGGAGAAACTTTTTTTGTCCGGGAATCTCGATTTTTAAAAATATGATTTTTACATTCAATTTACGATAATATCCTGCCAAAAGCCACGTATCAAATGGCCCCTAAAGGTTTGGATTGAGACTTGGAGTTGGACTATTTATTGTGGTGGATTGTATTTTGCCTATTGATGGTAGTCTACCTGCCATGAGCTCCCCCTAGTCGGGTCACACCTTCCCCGTACATGAAGTTCACTACCCAAGTATCAGGCTCCTTAAACTAGAATCAACACATTCATTAATATATTGCTTAGATTACACATAATTCACATTGTTCATCATTTAGAGGCTATTTTGCGTACCTGAGAGAAAAGGCTCCTTAGTTATTCGTTTTTACTTGTTTGTTATAATTTTTTGCTTTTATTGGAGTGAAAAGAAATTGTTTTTGATCTCTTTTGGATCAATTTGTTCCTATAAGTGAATTTGAGTGATAGGAGAGATTCTATAGGTGTATGAGATGAGAGAGTGACCAAGATTGGTCAAATTCTTATAAAACTCCATTGTAATTCGATTTTTCAAACACTGATTAGAAATTCTGAATTTAGTGGACATGTGATGACATTTTGTATATAGCCCTTGTATGGTTTTAGGTAGGGGTGCCAATATAGGTTATAACACGCGGGTCGACCCGCGACACGACATGAAAATTCGTGTTCGGGTTGACCCACAAAAAAAATCGTGTCATGTTCGTGTTGGAAAAAATGACACGTAAAAAATTCGTGTCATGTTCGTGTTGATGTATTTGTGTTCGTGTTGACCCATATTTTTTTAATTATATTATTTTTATAATTTATAATTTTTTTAAATTATTTTTTAATTTTGACCCATTTTTTATTTATTTTTTGTCAATTACCGTTTTGACCCCCTATTTTGCGTGTTATTCGTGTCGTGTCAACCCGCAAAAAATTCGTGCCGTGTTAGTGTTGAAGATTTTGACATAAATAGAAATTCGTGTCGTGTTCGTGTTGATATATTTGTGTTGTGTCAAATTCGCGTCGTATCAAATTTTTGTCGTGTCAACCCGTTTTGACACCCCTAATTTTAGGGTGAACCATGATAAATCACAATATTTGATATTCTAACCCTTAAACTCTTTGATTTTTTATTTTGTTTTTGTTATAGTTGTGTTTTAGACTCTAATTCAATTTAGTTTTAAGAGTAAATTAGGTTTAAATTCTGTTCTTGATCAAATTCCATTAATTTCTTCTAATTTGGGTTAATAGGCAAATGTTTATTCGAAACAAGTTACCACAATGTACTCCTATTGCGAGTTAAAGCCATTCTTTGTTTAACACTTCTGAGATAGGGTCATTGTTCAATGTGGCAAGGTGAGGATGAAGAAGCATGAAGGTATATATCTATATTTAATTGGGCATCCTTTTGGTTTATATATATATTTGGTAAACTCCTTTTGGTATATTTTAATAATACTGGCAATAAACCTAGCTACAAATATAATTACTTTACATAATAATTATCTCATTATGAGTTATTAAGTAATAATCTACACTCTTTCATTAGTCACACATTATAAAAATAATTAATATGCATATCCTAAACAATTAATTTGATCATATATAATAATGAGATTTTATATACATTTCTTAGAAATTAACTGAACATATTATTAATCTATTTTTTGATAAAATAAAATTATCAATTAATGGTGGGTTTAAAGTTTCTAAATTATTCATCCTACACACATATAAATGTGTGTGGGGCCAACCACGTGGGTGAGCGTGATGGTTCAACATCTCGTCCCTTAAGCAAGTGGTTGGGGGTTCGAACTCCAACTCTGGTGAATGGAAAGCATTCTGTGGCCAGCTCTTTACCGCTTTGTGCGCTGACCCGGGACGAAGGATTAGTCTCATGGCTATCGACTATGGGATACCCGGATGTAATCTAAAAAAAAATGTGTGTGGGGCCCAATTATTCTTTTTCTCTCTTTTCTCTTCACATGGGTGCTACACACTTTTATGTTTGTATAATGTATAGATCATAATTTTATCTCTTATAACATGAGAAACTTTAAACCCATTTAATGGTAGCAAGAAAAATTTCAACAAACAATTGACTATTTGTATTTTGGTGATCTAGGTTTTTTTTTTATGATTAGCATTGTTTTTTTGGTTCTGCATGGTTTGTATAATGCGACTGTTGAACAAATATATGGGCTGTATGAATATCCTCTGGGCCCATTTGCTTGCTCCTGTCTGATTTGGTATTGGGATATTGGCCCGATTCTGTAGGCCGAGTCATTACGCTCAATTCAAGTAGCAAAAAATTGTTACTCGTGTGTATAAAAAAAAATAAAAATTGTTACTGGCACCTTTTAGTGAAAAGCGACGTTGTTAAGCTAAGCCGCCAAGCTCGACCACGTAGCGACTCCTCGTCTCGTGGACAGGATAAGATAAAAGTAAGACATGATATGAAATTGATAAAGGCACGAGGCTGATAAGCTTATATCATGTCCTTTGTTTGATGAACATTTGATTAGCAATCTGATAAGATTATGTAGAAGGAGAAAGAAGAAAGAAAAAACAAAATATAATACAATAAATACAAATATATTGAATATCGTGGGAAATAGTGGATAGCGTGAGGATATATTAGATATCCAATATTGATATCGTATCCTATTGAATCCTAACCCAGCTCCTCTCATCAGATAAGAAATCATGTATTTGATAAGATAAAATTAGACAATAAGATAAGCTAATATTCTATTGACCCACCAAACAAGAGATAAAAATAAATGTCCTATCTTTTTTATCATTGCTTCAAACAGACTCTTAAATTCCAGTTACCATCCAAACAACTCCCTTAGCGGACGCGCTCATCCAATCCCGAACAAGTGCTTTTACTAAGGAAACTGAAACTCTCACACCGGAATAACCTAACCCGCTTACCAGCTACAGCACACACGATATTGCTGTTTGGCAACAAGAGTGGAAATAGCAATTCCGCTACTTAGAAAACCAAATTCCCTTTCTTAAATCGTTACTTTTCTCTCTCTCTCTCTCTCTCTCTTCGAGGGTTTCTCTTCTCCCTTGAAGAAGAACTACAACAACCAAGGAACCAAAAGCCCCTTTGGTATGCTCTTTCCTTCTCTTTTGATTTATAGGGTTCAGATCTATTCCCTTTGTTTTTCCAATTTGGTTCGGGTTTTCGATCTCTGAGTTTTTTAGATCCGAAATTTGATCATCAATTTTTGAATCGGGTCTACTTCATTTCCGATTTTCTGATGTTTATTTTCTCTGCATCTACGGCCTTACGTTTTCGATCAATTTTTTTTCTAGGTTTAGTTTTTTTTAGGTTTGAAAATTCACTAGGTTTTTGACACGGTTTTCAGTTCGCTTTGGATGATTTTTTTTTTTTGTTTAGGTTGTTTAATTATGGAAATTTAAATAATAAATAATAATATTGAAAATTGTCTCCGTTTGTGGGGACTTAATCGTGGGTTGAAGTTTTGCAGATTGAATTAACTTTTAACGGTGCAGATTATATGAACTTAAGAAAGTAGTCTCATTTGTGGTGAAGAGGCTGCGGTTACAGCTTTTGAGTTTAATAAGTCAGACTCTTAAGTTTGGCAGATTTTGTTGTATAAACATTGTTAATGAAAATTGTTAATCTTTTTAATATATTGTGTTTGATTTGACATGGCATGATGGTGCCTCAGTAGTAATGGTGTATCAGTGTTGTTCTTTGAGCTGGAATTTCATGTAAATTGTTTATACAAAGAAAAAGAAGTCAACTGCTCTGCGACTCATTGATGCACTATAAAGATTTTCATTGCTGATATTTTTCTTTTAAAATTTATAATTTTTTCCTTTTTTATGCAGTGCTTTTTGAGGTGCATCAATCATGTTTGGGCGTGGACAAAAGAAGAGTGATAGCACCAAATATTATGATGTTCTTGGTGTTTCAAAAAGTGCTAGTGAAGATGAAATCAAGAAGGCTTATAGGAAGGCAGCAATGAAGAACCATCCAGATAAGGGTGGAGATCCTGAGAAGGTAAGCCTCATGGTCTTCTTCACTGCATTTTGATTGCATTAATCAATTGCTCTGCTCTTCCATTAGGATCAATGTTCATGGTCTGACTATGTAATTTAATTGTAAGCATTTTATATTAGTGATTCTGCATTTAACTCTGTTAATATAGTGAGAATATAGTGTAAACTTTAAAGTGATTTAATATTGGTGTTTGCAGATGGCTTTAGCTTGTTATATTTTTGTTTTAGTCTTTTCATTTATATGAAATATGTTGTTCACTAATGAGTTTCTTGTGCAAACTTTTGTGATTGAAAAATTGCTAGTAATGCCTTTTCTTGCTGTCTTAGCATTTCTTTTTGTTTTTGTACTAAATATCTGATTCTTATATCAGTTCAAGGAGTTAAGCCAAGCATATGAAGTTTTAAGTGATGCTGAAAAGAGGGAAATGTATGACCAATATGGTGAAGATGCCCTTAAAGAAGGGATGGGGGGAGGGGGCTCATTTAATAATCCATTTGATATATTTGAATCATTTTTTGGTGGTGGAGCAGGCTTTGGTGGTGAGATGTTCACTTTTATATTCATGTTGTATCATTCTCATTTGTAAATCATCTTGCAATATTGACCAACTCACTATTACTATTATCTCTTAGCTGGTGGTAGTTCACGAGGTAGAAGACAGAAGCATGGTGAAGATGTGGTGCATTCTCTTAAGGTTTCCTTGGAGGACGTGTATAATGGCACAACAAAAAAACTATCTCTTTCTAGAAATGTGTTATGCTCAAAATGTAAAGGGTATGGACTTATCTGTGTTTATATTTTTTGTACATCTGATTCTTTTTAGAGAACTTTAACATTCTATCCAAGTACTTTTTGAGAAATGTATTGTCTTATGCTGTTGAATCAATGGTATTTAAGTCAACCATAACTTTCAAGTTATATAGCTATATTTTACATTAATATTTGAAATCCTCCTGTGGTCAACAATAGTTTTTCTTGCAATTTCTGATAAATCAGGAAAGGTTCAAAAAGTGGAACAGCTGGTAGGTGTTTTGGATGCCAAGGCACAGGTATGAAGATTACAAGAAGGCAGATTGGAATGGGCATGATTCAACAAATGCAACACGTCTGTCCTGAATGCAGAGGAACTGGTAATGGAAATTTCTCTTTCCATATTTGTTTAGTTGCTTTATGGTGTAGTTTCCTCCAGCTCATCAGTCATTGATGCAGGTGAGGTCATTAGTGAAAGAGATCGATGCCCTCAGTGCAAGGGAAACAAGGTTAGCCAGGAAAAGAAGGTGCTGGAGGTGAATGTTGAGAAGGGGATGCAGCAGGGTCAGAAGATTGTGTTTGAAGGACAAGCTGATGAAGCTGTAAGAAGAGATTATTTCTCTTTTGGGTGTCATTGTAGTGTATAGTTTAGTATACTACTGCTATGCTAATACTTAGTAAAGATTGCATGAAGTTGATCATTTTAGTCTCTTCCATGGTGGTTTCTTTAATTAATTGCACATGTGTACTTGTCGCAGCCTGACACAATCACAGGAGACATTGTTTTTGTCGTACAAGTAAAGGAGCACCCAAGGTTCAGGAGGGAGCACGATGATCTCTATATTGATCAGAATCTCACCTTAAGTGAGGCACTTTGTGGCTTCCAGTTTGCTGTCACCCATCTTGACGGGAGGCAACTATTGATCAAATCAAATCCTGGGGAAGTTATCAGGCCAGGTACAGTTTAAAAATTTTGGGAGTTCATTTCACTGAAATTTCATTCAATCATTGTATTCCATTATCTGATTTATGAATTTTAATTTTGCAATGAAGGTCAACATAAAGCAATAAACGATGAGGGAATGCCACAGCACAATAGGCCCTTCATTAAGGGGCGCCTTTTCATCAAGTTTAATGTTGATTTTCCAGATTCAGGGTTCCTTTCCCCTGATCAGTGCCAGTTATTAGAAAAGGAATTACCTCAGAAGACCAGCAACCATTTGTCAGATATGGAGCTGGATAATTGTGAGGAAACCACTTTGCATGATGTCAACATTAAGGAGGAGATGAGACGAAAGAAGCAACAGCAATACCAAGAGGCATATGATGAAGATGATGACGAGCCATCCATGCCACGAGTACAATGTGCTCAACAATAGTGCATTTTATGCTTGAGGTGCTTCGTCTATAATGTTCTGCATGGTTACTTGCATAATGCAGTTATAACTGCATCTTTATTTACCTTTAGGTTTTATCTGGTAATATTATTTATTTTACAGTTATTTGCAGATTTCTTCGGTTGTTTTGAATATTGTTGTGATATTTAGTATATGAAAATGAAATGCTTTTGTTTAAAGGTGTAATATCATGATTGCAGATCCCAGTCGCATGCCCCTTCTACTCTTTGGTTCTTAGATTTGGCAAATCCTTCTAACAATACTACTCTTTGGTTCTTAGATTTGGTTAATCCTTAAATTTCTTTTATTGGAAGAATATGTGAATTTGTCAAGGACAAAAACCAGATATAGCAGCAGTCTAGAACTTCGTTGATTACTATGATGTGGATCAAATGTAACGAGATAATAGAAAATGTCAAGAGGACGTGAGTATCATGGATTATTCATCAACAAATGATCTTTCCCTTAGTCCCCATTTTCAGTGAAGGGTAATTGTATAGAGTGCACTCCTGGTCCTTTGATGGGTAATTGCAAATTGGGACGTGCATGCGTCGAACCGAATTGAATTTTTTAAAAAACCAAAACGAATTGGTTTAAATTGTTTGGTTTGGAAGTGGTTCGGTTCGGTTCAAATTTGGTTCGGTTCGGAAGTGGTTTGGTTTGGTTTAGAAGTGATTTGGAATCAGTTCGGGTCCACCATCTTTTGAAAAGAAAAGAAATTTAAAATTTAAAAAATAAAGTTATAAAAATCAATTTGGTTCGATTTGGTTCCAAATGATTCGGTTCATGAACTGGTTTTAAAAACTGATTCGGTTCATGAACTGGTTCTTTAAAAATCGACTCAGTTCATGAATTGATTTTTAAAAATCGGTTGTTTTAAGAGTAATTCAGTTTGATTCATAGTTCGATTTAATTTTTTGATTATTTTGCAAATCTCTAATTGCAAAGTCACATCCTTCCCGTTTTGAAAATTTTTAAAACAGAAGGCTTCTCCGTTTGCTGAATAGAGAGCTAAAGCCCATAGCATTCATAGCATTTCTCTTAACTAGTTAATGTTCCCAATGGCACTTGGTACACAGTACTTTGTCTTTTTCTTGTTGGTCATACAATAAATGTCTAGAATACAAGTGTAATCGATAATAAATAAATCTTTGACAATTTAAAAAATGAATATTGAGGTAGTTTTTGAAAGGGGGCAGGATATTCTTATACCGGTGTAGAGTTAGAAGTTTTACACTCAATCTTGACTATTGATCCACTTGTATTCAATGACTCGCATTACTAAAAAATTTGAACCCTTAGATATAAGTGGGATCAGTGGACAAGATTGAAAGTGTAACTTACACTGGTGTAAAATGATCCTGACCCTTTTGAAAGATAGGAATCCTCTTGCAAGTGTTGCTTCCAAAATAATAATTATTGAAACGAGGGTGGGGTTATTGGTAATTTTGACTATTTAGTATATATGGTGCTTTCTGATTCATTTTTATTTAAAATTTCAAAGATTTTATTTTTTTTATTAACTATTTTATTATTTATTCTAGTTGTTCAAATAACTTTCTTCCTAAAATCCTCTTTTTACTCACTTGTAATACCCTCTTCAGATGTTCAACTTCAATATATATATATATATAGAGAAATGTTATACTTACAATTATTTTTTTACAACTTCTTACAACTATATCTTAACACCGTTGATTTTCGTCAATCAACGGTTATGATTTTCACAAATTAAACTCATTAATTAATTATTAATTCACAATAAATGATAACCGTTAATTGGCGAAAATTAACGGTGTTAAGATATAGTTGTAAGAGATTATAAAAAAAAAGTTGTAAGTATAACCTTTCTCATATATATATATATATATATATATATATATATATATATATATATATATATATTATATATATATTAATGGAGATTAAAAATATAATTTAATATAAATTACCCAAACCCCTAATCGCTAAACCAACCCTAGTCACTTTTTCTAGTTTCAACTCTAATATACTAACACTCGAAAAGCTTACAAGTAAAGTTGTAAAAAATATGGTTTAATATGAGGGATAAACCATTGTCATGGTGTAGGAAGGAAAAACTTTTTTTCGAAAACACACCAACAATTGGAGAGAGAAAAAATTGATAGTGAGACCCAGATGTATTTTTGAGTCCATTGAAAATAAGTTTTTCTTTGCAACATAACAATCGTTTATAGACATGTTTGGTGCATAGTATAAGATAAAACCTGATAGTATAAGACCTGATAATATAAGGCCTGATTGAATTTTAATATTATCCAGCGTTTGGCACGGTATTGTATAAAATAATATATTGTATAAGATAATATCATCTAGTATTTGGTAATGCATTGTATAATACTATATAGGATAAAAATAATTTTTTAATAAAAATATCCTTTAATAAAGAATTTATATAATTCTTCAAAAAATATCATATGATATTATTTTTTATAAAAATTTATTGATCAGTGTGTCCAAAACATAAATTAATTTTTATAAAAAGAAAAATTAATTTTTCAATATATTAATTAATTTTTCAATTGTAATTAATTTTTGAGAATTACACTGGTCAACGATGTTGATACCCCAACCTCTTATCAGGCCTTATCCCTCCCCCTTAGGCCGGATTAAGTTATACGTCATTTTGATGTATTAAGGGATCCTGCTGTATAAGATTATACTATACGTTGGTCACATCAAATAACTAAAAATGTCATAACGTATAGTATAAGCTTATACTATCAGGCCTTATACGTTACACCAAACAAGCCCTTAATATAATCCACTTGTGTAGTATGGTTAAGATAAAAATAAGAAAAAAGTAAGTATCAAAGCTATTGAAACCGGTGTTATCAACTTGAATTGTTCGTCGATTTGGTTGAGGTATTGGGTTAATGAATTACTGATTTAATAAATGGGTCACCGATTCAATCATACGAATTAAAAGTATAAAATAAAATTAGTAGCATTTTAGCTAATAATTAGAGTTGAATTGGTAGTAAGTGCTATAAGTTATAATTTACATGGTTTAGGTTCGAATCTCAGTAATGATATTTTTCAAGAATTATGTCAAAAACTTCGTAAAACCAATATTTAAAAAAAAGAAAAAAAAAAGAGCAATGCTGGTTTAATATCGATTGAATCCGGTTCAAGATCTGTTCATTGATTTTATATCCGGTCAAATGCATAATCAGTTTAATACTTGAATCGAACCGATTGGGGTCCGATTTACCGATCAATCAATTGGATCGGTCAGGTCGATTTTTATAACTAATTGAAACTAATTGAATGCATCTGGTATACGCATACAATTTTAGGAATAAAAAAGGTATATATATTGAAAGAAGTGAATTTTATGGTTGATGTGTTATCTTTCTTTAAAAATTATTTTAATTTTTTGTTGTTGATTGGATTATTATGAATTTATATATGTGAATTTTCAAGTATTAATTACTTTTTATTTTAAACTAGGGAGAAGTAATCTAGAGAGGGAAAATGCACGGGAGAGATGAGCTGTTCTAATCTGTGATAATATAAGTTATTTGAGGAGAGAGAAGCAATAGTAAAACAATTAACTTTTTAAAAGTATTTAATAAAGACTAAATTTGAAAAGCAGCATAAAAATTGAAAAGTAAGGAATGTTTATAAACATTTTAGAGTGTGAATAGCCCAACCCTGGAAAGACAAGACCCAGCTTGAAAGTGGAAATCCCTCTTCCTTTTATTTTCGTCGATAATTTTATCTTTAGGCCTGATATCAACACTCTGCTCACTACAGGGGCCTCTAAATTTTCTGATAGATGCAGCTCCACCACTTCATCCATTTGATCCTATCCTATTCCTAGAGAATAAAATCCCAAGAATTTACACTTACACGCTTTTATGTTTAAAAGAAACTTCTATTAGGTAACAAGGAGACCAAAGGCACCAAATTTGGTTATATTAAAGCTTCCATATCTCTGTCTGTCACTATGATAAAACAGCTAAAAAGTTTTGGAATAAAGGAAAACTCATGAGGAGAATAAAAGGCATCAATAATTGATGCCTTATCTATCTTCTTTAACTGTCCTAAGAGTAAGAACCATGTAATTACAGAAGGATTCATGACTGATCTTAATTCCTTGACTTCTAGTTGTACACTTGTACTTTTATTTATTTATCCTTGAGTGTGTTGGATTTATTTGAATGAGACTAATCTCCTTCATAATGTAGAGCATGAAAGAGTTTTTCTAATGGCTCCAATTTATTTTGCCTATATACCAAACCAAATACCTTTTAGCCTCATTGATCCTTTCTTTGGACACAACTCACTTACCAATTATGTCATCTCTCGGAATTTGTTATACATATGTACTTAATATAGACCAGAGTGGGAAAAGAGAAATATGTGAAAATTAATTCAGTAAAAAAAAAGAAATAGCATTATTATCTAGAACGTAAAAATGGCTTGATATGACATGTAGATGTGCTAGCTTTCTATTTCTATATTTTTCGCTGCTAACAGTTAAGATTCCTTAACAAAGTTTATATAAATGCACGCATGCATCTTCTTATGTGAGATTTGAGCATATTTGGTTATGTAAATTCTCAACCATTATGTAAAAATATTTTAGGTATTGATCTTGATAAAATATGATAGGCCCATCAAAGGCCCAAATACGTAAGAACAAGGCTCAAAATCGCAAGGCCCAGAATGAGGCACGATGGCTTCCATCGTGCATGACAGGGCACAATGCCACCATCGCGCATGAAATCGCCCTTTAACATAACTTCAGAGATAAGAAAGTAAATACATAAACTAATAAAGGTCCACCGCGCCATTGAACAACTTAACAGAAGACAGCACTTGTGTAACACCCCGTATATATCCGGTTTGTTATCATATCATTGTATTAATCAGCGCTTAATTAAAAATGCGGAATATCTTTTTCTTTTCAATTATGACGTCATTATTCATTACCAACTTGATTACTTAAATCATTTTCAAAACATCGCTTGTATGTAAATTGCAAAAGACAGCTAACTGAAATACCTCATTATATAAATAACATAAATAAGTCTCTAGTCACGGAACTACAACATGTAGACCGGATAACCTGATAGTTTATACAACTCAAGCTTAAAGGTACTAACACCAAAGCGGCATGGACAAACCTCATGCTCACCGAAT